CCGCAAAATATACAGTCACTCCACCTTACAGGATGTTCTGTGAAGAGCTTATCACGTCTTGAAAACGTGAAAGGGGCTATATCAAATGTAAGGATTTTATTATAATTGTTATTATTACTTGCTCGTTGGCAAACTATTTTGAATCGATGCCAAGAATGGCCCAGTGGGGGATGCAACAAATAACAACAAATAACAAACTACATTTGTACAGCGCCTTTCACGTCGGGAGACTGTCCCAAGGCGCTGGGCAGTCAGGGATTTGGATCCTGATTATCCCGCTATAATATAACACCAATTTACTTTTGTGTAGTGTGTTTTGCATTAGGAAGGCAATTTACTAAGACTGGCTCAGCAGCTGAGCTGGGGATGGGAGCCGAGGTGGGGGGGTGGGGGGAGGTAAAGATGATTGAAACTCCCAGTTTGGTTTGGATACTTGCTCACAATGAGCGATTTCCACCTCCACCTAAACTCCCCTTGCACTACTTCTGCCGACTTCACGGCCCTCCTCTCCTCCCTAAACCTCACCCTTCATATAAATTCACCCACCCACAACCATGGTCATGCCCTTGACCTCGTTATCACCCACGGCCTTGACATTTCCGACCTCAGCATAGTGGACAAGGCCATCACGGACCACTTCTTCATCTCCTTCTCCTCTCACATCCCTCTCTCCTCCACCAAGCCCTCAACCATCCTCTACCGCCCTTGGAAAAGGCTACCCACTGAGACCCTCACAAAGGCCCTCTCATCTTCAAACATCCGATCCGTCTGGCCGTTCCACCCGCGGAGACCCTGAAGCAGCCGTCCAGCTGCTCCATGATCACCTCTTCTCCACCTTCAACTCCCTTATCCCCCTAAAATCCAGGACCATCTCCAAACCCATCTCCCTGGGACAACAACCATCTCCATCGCCAAAAAAAAGAAACCTGGCTGCTCAAGCGCAGATGGCAGAAAACTGGCCTGACAGTCCACCGCCAACTGTGACTCGAGCATCCCCACAGCTACTGTCATTCTTTGACACATGCAAAAATGGCCTTCTACTCCAACATCACCTTGGAGGCTAAACACAACCCTAAAATCCTTTTTTCCACTACCCACTATCTCCTCCGTGCCCCCCCTGAGGCCTTCTCAATCTTCATATCAAATGTCAAGTGCGAGGAGGTCATGGACTTCTTTTCATCTAAAATACTGAACATCCGCCAGGCAGCCTCATCCACCTGCCCCTTGTCACCCACCACCACGCCCTCTCTGCCCCCCTCACCCTCCCCATCATCTGCTCCTACCACCACCCCCATCCTACATTCCTTCGCCCCCATCTCACCCTCCTCCCTCTCACCCACCATCACCTCCATGAAACCTACCATCTGCTGCCTCAATCCCCTCCCCACCAACTTGCTGGTCACCCAGCTCCCCCTCCTCTGCCCACTACTGGCTGATGTCATAAAACAGTTCCTCTCCTCCGGATCAGTCCCTGCCCCCCTCAAAACTGTTGTCATCACCCCCCTCCTCAAGAAACCTTCCTTAGATCCCTCAAACCCCAGCCACTACTGTCCCATTTCTAAACCTGCCCTTCCTCGCAAAAGTCCTAGGAGGCGCTGTTGCCAATCAACTTCGCGCACACCTCTTCTCCCACTTCCTCTTTGAACCCCTCCAGTCCGGTTTCCGCCCTGCCCACAGTACAGAGACTGCGCTTGTGAAAGTCACAAACGACATCCTCTCTATCTGTAACCAGGGCACCCCGTGGCTCCTTGTCCTCCTGGACTTCTCCGCTGCATTCGACACAGTCGATCACGTCATCCTCCTCCACCGCCTTTCCTCCGTCATCCACTTCAGTGGGACTGCACTCGCCTGGTTCGAGTCCCACCTCACAGACGACCAGCAGTACATCTGCACAAACGGCTTCTCCTCCCACTCTCACCCGGTCACCTGCGGGGTACCCCCAGGGATCCATCCTTGGCCCCCTCCTCTTTCTGATCTACATGCTCCCTCTTGGGGATGTCATCCGCAGACATGGGGTATATTTACACATGTGTGCGGACGACACCCAACTCTTATTTTTCCACCTCTCTTTGCGACCCCCAGTCCCCTGATGTTCTGTCAGCTGCCTGTCAGATCTCAGGGGCTGGATGAGAGTAAATTTCCTTCAGCTGAACGTTGACAAGACGCAAGCCATACTCTTTGGCTCTCGTCAACGTCTAAAATCTCATGGCTCTCACCTCCTCCACCTACCTGAACTCCCCCTAAAACTCTCTGAACCCATACGCAACCTAGGTATCAGGTTCAACCACCAATTATCCTTCCTCCCCCACATCCGGTCCCTCACCAACACCGCTTTCTTCCACCTCCGTCGCATCGCCCATCTCCGCCAATACCTCTCTCCAAAAGCCGCTGAAACTCTGGTCCATGCCTTTGTCACCTCTCGGCTGGACTATTCTAATGCCCTCCTCGCCGGTCTCCCCTCCACTACCATCCATAAAATCCAGATTATTCAAAACTCTGCCGCCGGCATTCTCACCCGCATCAAATTCCGCTCCACGAATACCCAAGTCCTTGCCAGACTGCACTGGCTGCCTGTCCTAGAGAGGATCGACTTCAAGATCCTCACCCTTGTCTTCAAATCCCTCCACTCCTCTGCACCCCTCGACTTCTCTGACCTCCTCTCTCCCGGGTCTGGCATCCTCCTTGTCCCCTGAATCCTCCGCTCCACCCTCAGCAGCCGTGCCTTCAGCCACTATGCCCCGAGGCTCTGGAACTCCCTTCCTCACTCCCTTCGCCTCACCCCCTCTCTTCCTATTTTCAGGTCTCTGCTTTCTTTTCGACCCCGCCTTTGGTCACTTTCCTCCCCCTCCCCCTGGCTCGGCACCGGGATCCGTTATTGTGAAGTGCTCTGAGGCTCCGTCCGGCGTGGAGGACGCTATATAAATCCATGTCGAGTCCTGTAGCTCAGTGGTTAGAGCAATCGCTTTGCAAGCGAGAGACCTGAGTTCAATTCCAGGCAGAGGGCGAAACCTTGGGCAAGTTTCCTTACTCCACACAGAGCCTAATAATAATCCCTCCAAAATCAAAAACAATAATAAATTGGTCATTTTCAATCTACGACTATTTGTGGGACATTGCTGTGCGCAATTGGCTGTCGCGTTCACCCACGAATATACAGTCAATTCACTTTACAGTGTGTTCTGTGAAACGCTTTGGGACGTCCTCCCGACGTGAAAAGAGGTATATCAAATGCAAGGATTATTATTATTATTATCCAAGTTGTTGTTGTTTTAAACAGGATGATGGATTTCCCCTGCCCCCCAAAAGCGCTGAGTGAGGGGCGCTGTACAAATTACACGTGGTTTGTGGTGATTTCAGGAAGTGAATTGGATCAAAGATTTATTTGCTCCTTTATTTGTTATGTAGCTACTAGTAATGACCCGCAGGGGGCGCTGCACATAATGGTCAATCATAATAGCTCGGCATCAACCGCCTCTCCCCCACCCCCCACAGTCTGTTAGTGGTGTTACAGTATTACATCTGTTTGAAAAAGACACCCAAGAGTAATAATAATGATTTGCATTTGATCACGTCTTCGAAAAGTTTCAAAGCGCTTCACAGGATATACTGTAAAGTGTAGTGACTGTGTTTTGTGGGCGAAACGCAGCAGCCAATTTGCGCAGAGAAATGTCCCACAAACAGCCGGGAAGTGAGGGATCAATTTTATCCGGGAGATTGTTGGCCAGGACATCGGGGAGAGAGAAACTCCCATCTCTTCTTGAATTGGGCCACAGGATCTTTAACATCCACCTGAACAGGCGGGGATTGGAACTCATAATAACCACTGAGAGCATTTATTGAAGAAGTGACAATATTTCCGAGCTTGGGTTTGATGCCGAATTGAACGTCATTCACATTCGGTCAATGGACGTCTGGGTATTTATAAGAGCACTGGGTCCCTTTCGGTTCCTGGATGCCAGCGTGATTCTGTTAGACATTCCCGAGCCAGCACTGCAGGATTCTGACGTTAACTCACTTTCCCCTCTCCATAGATGCTGCCTGACCTGCTGCGTGTTCCCAGCGACTCCTGCGTGATTTAGTACTGAGTTTACCCACTGTGACTGTCCTGCCGTGGAGAGGGGTGGGGGGGTTAAGCGGGTGCGATTCTCGGGCAGGGCGAAACCTTAGGCCAGTTTCCTCACTCCACACGCACGCCTCTGTTTACCTAGCAGTAAGTAGGAACCCAGTTGTTAGTCGATTGGAGGATCGCTTTCCGGGGAGAATAATCCCTTCAAAAAAATATGTGAAAATAATAATTTGGTCACTCAATCCACGACTGTTTGTGGGACGCTGCTGTGCGCAATTGGCTGCCGCGTTTCGCCCACAGAATACACAGACACCACACTTTATCGAATATTCTGTGAAGCGCTTTGAGACGTCTCGAAGACACGATTACGTGCTATATCAAATACAAGGACTATTGTTCTAAAATAATATAGTATTATCGTATCATTATTAACATAAAGTGAATTAACTGTATTTGTGGGAAAAACGCGGCAGCCAATTGCGCACAGCAGCGTCCCACAGATTGACCACATTTATTTTAAGCGATCATTACCCCCGGGAAGGCGATCCGCCAATCGACTAACAGCCGGGTGCTTACCTCCTGCTCGGAGAACAGAGTCGTGCGGAGTAAGGAAACTCGGCCAACATTTCGCCTTCGCGCGGGAATTGAACCCAGGTCTCTCTCGCTTGCGAGACGAGTGCTACTAACCACCTCCGAGTCTTCCAGAAGGTTGCGGGTTCAAGCCCCGGGTAAAGGATTTGGAACCACAAAGCAGAACCCCCCCCCCTCCCCCTCATCATCATTATGTGGTACATTACTGTTGTACTTGTTGAAGGTTCTGCTTGTCCATGAGTTGCAATGCAGTGTCTGGGGCAGCAGATGTCGCCTCTAAGACACACAAAACACAAGTCTATTTGTGTGTCTGCCCCAGAAATAACCCTCTCTCTCTCTCTCTCTCTCTTCCTCTCTCTCTCTCTTGGGCAGTTCTGGTTTATTTCCCCCGGAAGCATTATTGCAACAATTTGGCAAGTGAGACATTGATGCAATCCCTTCCACACACACACATTCACTCACATCACATCACTCACTCACTCTCACTCACACACACAGAGTACCAGACACGTGAAGTCCAGCCAAGCCCCAAACCAAGACAAGACACACAAGATCTGTGAGTGAAATGGACATGGAATTGAATCAATGATACAGTGAGAGAGGTGTGTCCATTTGGACGTGAACTTGGATTAACACAGACTAGTGTGTGTGTGTGTGTGTGTGGGGGGGGGGGGGGGGGTGGGTGGGTGGGGGGGGAGTGTGTGTTCATGGCAAACGATCCAATTCATCTCTGTTGCAAACTGGAATCCATCCAACAGGTCATTCACCCAGTTGGGTGAAGTCCAGTTTGCACAGAAATAATTGGAGAATTATTTTTATATGAGGGAGGAAGGGAGGAAGCAGTGGAGGGAGGGGGAAGGGGGGGGGGGGAAATATTGGAAGGATATCTTTAAAGGAAAATTTGCTCCATCTCTTAGCTCTGCAGCCTTTACCCCCTGTCCTGATTTTGCCCCTGCCTGTTTGCTTGCCGGTTAGATCCCGCAGATCAATGTGCAGAGGTGGGAGAGAGGCACGGGCTGGGATCGATGCTAAAAATCCATGGGAAATATGCTGGTCTGGAGCAGGAAGGAGCCTGGCTCACTAGAGGAATGCGACTCGACCTGGGGCTCTGAGACCGAGGAGGAAAGGACGGCAGAGGACGCAGACCTGGAGGAGCCTTGCAGCAAACACGATCAGGTACAGAGAACACGAATACAGGATTTCCTAGAAATTAAACTCGTCTTGGAGCCCAAAGTTCACCAAATTCTAGCCCCCCACCCCCAAAATATCCCAATATTGTGTTGCCTTCTCCTGTATCCGCTTGGCTCTGTTGGAAAGCGGTCTGATGTTTGAAATTGGTTTTGTGCAGTTGTGTAAAAAAGAAACTTAAAAGAGGTTTGAAAGTTAAGGCTGTGTTTTTTAAGTATTTGTTGATTCTTCTGACTCGCTGTACGGTGCTCTGAGATGCTACCCCTGGATGAGGGGCACAGTAGAGGAGTGTGACTATAAATGCAAGTTGTTGTAGTTGTTGCGGAGTCCTGTAGCTCAGTGGTTGGAGGATTCGCCTTGCAAGCGAGAGGACCTGGGTTTGATTCCCGGGCAGGGCGAAACGTTGGGCATGTTTACTTACTCCACACGCCTCGGTTTACCTCGCAGTAAGTAGGAACCCGGTTGTTAGTCGATTGGCGGATCGCTTTTCCAGAGTAATAATCCCTTAAAAGAACACTAATAATAATTTGGTGACTCAATCCACGACCGTTTGTGGGTCACTGCTGTGCGTAATTGGCTGCCATGTTTCGCCCACAAAATATACAGTCAGTTCACTTCACAATATATTCTGTGAAGCGCTTTGAGACGTCTCGAAGACGTGATAAGGTGCTATATCAAATGCAGGGATTATTATTATAAATACAAGTTGTTGTTGTTATAGGGTGACTGTAGATTAAATTCCAGCTGCATCTAGATTTAACCTTTTTTTTAATAGTGTTACACACTATGTTATTTTGGCAGTTTTCCATCTTGAAAATGAACAAGTGTTCAAACCTCACAAGCTTTAAATTCCCGAAATATAATCTTGGTCGTTCATGTCAGGGTTATTTATGAGGACACTGGTGTGTGCAATTTGGTTGTCACATGCAAAGTACACAGTCACTATACCTTACAGTAAATCCTGTGAAGCACTTTGAGGCGTCCACCTGATGTGAAATGCAAGGGTGTGTGTTAACCACAGTACAAACATAGAAATAGGCTTAGAAATAACTGGGAGTTTCTGACCCACTTCACGTCCTTTTGAGCATTTCATACTTGCTCGGAGTCAGGCTTCGACACTGTTAAGTGCTTTATTATTATGTTTGCTGTTACGGTCACGTATAGCAACATTACTGTAATGACCATATCAAGATCAATATCAAAGTCCATACGTTTATAACCAGTTAGCAAACATGTCTTGCTTGGGTTGTTCAAAGGTACAGACAGTAATAGAATTAATGACTCTGTAGAGCCTGGGAGGTTGAGCCAGTAGGAGTGCTAACACTGTGTTCAGCTGATAATAGCAATCGCTGATTCAAAGAAACACAGGTCTCGTCGCTGGAGCTGGAAAGAATTGCCAGACGATAGAAGACCAAGGTCAATCCAGTTCGCCTTCCACCGTTCTGGCAGTAGCTTGGACATGTCATGTCGCGAACTGTATATTATATCCCAAGATATTATTTCCTATACAGTGGAGTCCTGTAGCATAGTGGTCGGAGCACTCGCCTCGCAAGCGAGAGGACGTGGGTTCAATTCCCAGGCAGGGCAAAACACTGGGCAAATTTCCTTACTCCGCACGCTTCTGTTCAAGTAGGAACCTGGTTGTTAGTCAAGTGGCGGATCGTTTTTCCAGGGATAATGATCACTTCAAAATAAATGAATAAAATCATAATAATTTGGTCACTCAATCCACAACTGTTTGTGCCCAATTGGTTGCTGTGTTTGCCCACAAAATATACAGTCGATTCACTCTTTGTGGATTATTATATTATTCCTAACAGAAATTTATCTCATTTATTCTTAAAAGAATCGACACTTTCTGCTTCCACCATCTCCCTGGGGAACTTGTGCCATACATTTCGACTCGCTCACTGATGTAGTGTTTCCGCAGTAGATAATAACTCGTGTTGAATCAAAGGACCAAAGTTGGACTCGAGCAGCAATCTGAATCTGAAAGCACTTCCTGTTTTGTCCAGCAGGAAATAATGTCACTGGTGACTTCATGCTTGAAAGTTCTAAAAATAAAAATGATGGTAATCCTTACATTTGGTGGTAGTGCTTTTCACGCTCAAAGCGCTTCACTGGACTTACTGTAAAGTGTAGTGAATGTATTATTCTACATTCATAATAATCCTTGCGTTTGAATATAAAAACAGAGAGAGCTGGGAAGACTCAGCAGGTCAGGCAGCATCTATGGAGAAAGGAAAGGGAGTCAACGTTTCGGGTCCACGACCCTTCGTCAGAACCGGAGCATGTTGGGAGGGAGAGGCTTTTAAGGACAAGTTGAGAGGGGGGAGGCAGGACAAGGACGGCAAAGAAGACAAAAAAGAAGACAAAGGAGAGAATGTGTTAGTTGATGGGTTAAAGAGGTGACAGTAGTGTAAAACAAAAGGGGAGGTATACAACAAAAGGGGGGGTTGGGTTGAAACAAAACTGGGGGAGAAGAGGTGTTAATGGTGCAGAACAGGCAACACACCAGAGAAAGGCAAAGAGTGTCTGGAGTGATGATTGTAATGATAACAGAGAGCGCGAGAGAGCTGGGAAAACTCAGCAGGTCAGGCAAAAATATTTGATATAATGCTTTATCACGTTGTTGAGGGTCTCGAAGCACTTCACAAGATTTTACCGTAAAGTGTGGTGACCGTATTTTGTCGGCAAAGGAGGCAGGCCATTTGCACGGAGCATTCCACAAACTGAACCAAAGCATTTGGTATAGCGCTTTCACATCAGAAGGTTGCCCCCAAGTGCTTCACAGGATTTAATGTGAAATGAAGTGACTGTGAATTTGTAGGCGGACACGGCAGCCCAGTTGTGTACAGCAGTGTCACACAAACAGCCTTGGAGTGAGTGACTCATTTCATTTGAGGGATTGTTGTCCAGGACACCGGGAGAGAGGAACTCTCTCCTCTTTTCGAGTCGGGTCATGGGATCTTTAATGTCCACCTGGACAACCAGATGGGACCTCAGTCTCATCCAAAAGGCAGATTTTGGAGGTGAGAGTGGTGGTCAATTTACGGACAGTAATATCCCCGCAAACAGCCCGTGGAGTGAGTGATCAGTGTTACCTGGGGAATTGATGGAAAGTTACAATTTTCTGTGTATTTTTTTTAACAAAAACAGCAATATTTCTGTTGGAGTCGTGTAGCCATGTCGATGTTAATGATTTAGCAGAATTGTGCAAGCCAAGGCTGGAATGCATCACCTGCATCTGACAGTGATGTGTATAAATAGATGTGTGCATGACTCCTTCCCCCTCTTTACCTATTCAAATCGGTGAAAATTGGCAAGAGGTGAAGTGAGTATCACGGCTGAAAATCGGGAGGTTTTTCGAACGCTGGTAATTATTGTCTGACTTCAGTGTGGTCTTCCTTCTAGGCCCCGCTCCTCCCCCCCACCACACACCCACAGCATAATGTTTTGAAGCACGACCCCCTCCCCCCACCCCCCACCATCACTACTATTGTATAATCCGGCTTCTGTGGAGACCTCTAGTTTAGTGGTTAGAGGGCTCGCCTCGCAAGCAAAAATTCCCAGGTTCGATTCCCTGAGACCTTAGTCAAGTTTCCTTACTCCGCCTCTGTTTACCTAGCAGTAAGTAGGATCCCAGTTGATAGTCGATTGGCGGATTACTTTCTGGGGGTAACAATCCCGTCACTCAATCCACAACTGTTTGTGAGAAGGCGTTAAATCAAATCCAATAATAATAATTATCATCATCATTAACCCAGCAAAATTTTGCTACAAAATTTGTTTGCCCACAAAACACACAGTGCCTACACTTTACAGTGTCTCCCGTGAAGCACTTTGAAACGTCCTCCCGATGACTGCTCTTCCTCTCTCATTCCAGATTGTTGCCTTGGCATACAAAGCAAAACAAGATCTTGCATTTTTATATATCGTCACATCACCAAGTCACAGAGGAAGTTTGACTTTGTGGCCTTGAGATATACATTGTCCTCCTGACGTGAAAGGCTCTTGGCTGCCGCGTTTCGCCCACACATATACGGTCATTTCACTTTACAGCATATTCTGTGAAGCGCTTTGAGACGTCGAGAAGACGTGAAAAGCGCTATATCAAATGCAAGGATTATTATTACATTATTATTATTATTTGTTGTTAATATAGTACCTGTCAAGTCAGAAGGGTATCTCACAGGATTCACTGTAAAGTCCGAGGACTGTAGATATGTAGGCAAATACAGCAGCCAACTTGACACACAGTAATGTCCCACAAACAGCCATGAAGTGAATGACTATTTTTGTCTGAGGATTGTTGGCTAGGACAGCAGGAGAGAGAAACTCCCTTCTCTTGTCTAATAGTGCCACGGGATCTGTAATGTCACACTGAACAGGCAAAGCAAGGCCTTTGTGTCACCTGAAGGACGGCACCTCTGATAATGCAGCACAACCCCAGCACTGCAATGGAAGTGTCAGTCTCGGCTGACTCTCCCATACACTGCTGGAGTCTGCTGCGTTTTCGAAAATCCTGTCCAAGGCAACATGAGTTCAAAGCTGCAGACGTGGGTCTTGAACCCGCAACCTTCTCACTTAAGAGTGAGAGTGCCACTGACTGAGCCAGCCAACGCCTTAAATTGTCTTGTGTGGCAACAGTGGGCTGCCCAATTGTTGTAGACCGCAGATAATAATAATAATCCTTGCATTTGATATAGCGCTTTTCACGTCGGGAGGACGTCCCAAAGAGCTTCACAGAACACACTGTAAAGTGAATTGACTGTATATTTGTGGGTGAACGCGGCAGCCAATTGCGCACAGCAGTGTCCCACAAACAGTCGTGGGTTGAAAATGACCATTTTATTATTGTTTTGTTTTGGAGGGATTATTATTAGGTGTGTGGAGTAAGGAAACTTGCCAAAGGTTTCGCCCAGACCTGCCTGAATTGATCCCAGGTCTCTTGCTTGCCAGGCGAGTGCTCTAATCACTGAGCTACAGGATTCCACAAATTGTAAATTGTATTTACACAGCGCCTTTCACATCCGGAGGACGTCCTAAGGCTCTGGATAGTCGAGGATACGGAACCGAGTTGGGATTGAGAGTTAAATTAAATGAAAGGATTATAATAGGGTTAAAATGAATTTTGTGCATTTTGACATCCTGCATTACATCAGATCCTGACCGCTCTTCGCATACTATAGGAGGGGTTCCACTGAAGAGGTTTAACACTGATCTTCTCACAAAAGGGTGGAGTGAATACTTATTTCACCTCATCCGTGGAAATTGGGATTAGAATAGAGATCGCCAGATCCAGTAGTGGAGTTGGCAACAGCACAGACATGATGGGGGAGAGAAAGGAGGAGAATGGGATTAGATGGGAGTCAGAGCAGCAGATTGGGAATGGAGTAGTCTCCAATTCAGGAGCTCGCAGCAGAAGAGCACTCACCTCGCAAGTCGGAGGATCCAGGTTCGATTCCCGGGCAGGGCAAAACCTTAGGCAAATTTCCTCACTCCACCCGCCTCGGTTTACCTAGCAGGAACCCAGTTGTTACTCGATTGGCAGATCGCTTTCTGGGCGTAATAATCCCTTCAAAAAAAATTTAAAAAAATAAAAGAAAAATAATTTCGTCACTCAATCCACAACTGTTTGTGGGACACTGCTGTGTGCAATTGGCTGCCGATTTCGCCCACAGTATACAGTCAAATCACTTTGCAGTATATTCTGTGAATCGCTTAGAGATGTCTCAACGACATGATAAGACGCTATATCAAATGGAAGCATTATTATTATTAGGACACAGGAGAAATAGCTTAGAGGGTGTAATAATAATCCTTGCGTTCGATCATCATCGAAATATCTCAAATTGCTTTCACAGGATTTTACTCTAAAGTGTAGTGTCTGTGTATTTGCAAGAGAACACAGCAGGAATTTGCCCACCGCAGTGTCCCACAAACAGCCATGAAGTGAACGACCAATTTAATTTGGGGATTCCAGGAGATATTCCCTTTTCCTTTTGAATAATGCGCTGAGGTGAGAGTGCTACCGACTGAGCCAGGCTGAAATCTATGCCGCCTGCACATGGAAATTGGTGCATATTCCATTTGAATATCATTGGATTATCATGTATACGTGGGATCCATGGACCTCTATGGAACTCTGTTTGGTTTGGATACTCTTAAGAACGTTGATGGGTTTCTGCGTGTGTCGGACACCTGATTGATCAAAAAAAACACTAATCCCAACTCTTTGTGGGACACTGTTGTGTGCAGTTGTTCTGCTGCCTTCCACCCCCCAAAACAATTTACTTTACAGTATATTGTGTGAAGCACTTGGAGATGTCTTGACAACGTGATGAGGCACAATATCAAATGCAAGGATTATTATAATTGTTATATTCCTCTTTCTGAATAAATGGTGCAATGAGATCGCTTCAATCTGCACTTGAAGAAGAGGCAAACGTGGGGTTTAGAACCCATGACCGTCTTAACCCACCAGAGTGCCAGGGAACGAAGACTCTCTCAACATTGAAGACTTAATATAATAAGGGTTTGGGTTTTTGGAAGTAAAATTGGCACAGTGTGGATCTTGGCCTATTTTGAGTAGGATTAGTGATAGCTTAGCCACCGGGGGAGGTGGGGATTGTGATAACTCTGTGGTTTGCATCTCATAAACTGGGTATTTGAGTCTTCTCAAGCCTCCCACGCAGGGCACATGAGCTGTGTGTAAATTCACCGCTCAGCTCTCAATTGTGAATTTTGTAAACTTCACACTCAGCCAACTGATCTCACAGGTAATGCTGCAGAGACAGCAAAGATCTAATTGAGAATGAGTGTTCCTCACAGCACTGTTCTCTGCTCTAACTTGGGCCCGATCAGGCCTTCCAGGGGTTTAATAATAATTAATAATCCTTGTATTTGATACAGAACCGTATCATGTTGTTTGAAACGTCTCAAAGCACGTCACGGAATTGAGTGTATATTTTGTGGGCGAAACGCAGCAGCCAATTGCGCACAGCGCTGTCCCACAAAGAGTCATGAATGAGTGCCGAATTTTTTTTTATTAATTTCCTTTATTCGAAGGGATTATTACCCCTGCAAAGCGATCTGCCAATTGACTAACGAGGCGTGTGAAGTAAGGAAACTCGCCCAAGGTTTTGGCCTGCCCGGGAATCGAACCCAGTCTTGCGAGACGAACGTGCTGACCTGTCTCCTGGTCTCCCTGCAACAACACCATCTACTGGTGTGTGCTTGCGTGGCAGCCGGGAGAGGAGAGGTCAGGCTCAGATCTTCTAGTTGTCTCTCTAGTGAATATTGGCCGATTCCGTGGGTCTCTCAATTTCAGAGCTCTTTGCATTAGTTGAGTAAACGTGTTGCCCGTCTTGTTAAACAGAATGAAGACAAAACAGAAACTCCGATCAAGCCAAAGAGAAGCTTCTACGCAGCCAGGGATCTGTACATGTACCGGCATGGGTACCCAGTGAGTCTCTTCTCCATTGCTCCCGCTGCACACCTTTCACAGGCGATGATGCTGCCGTCACTGCCTCTTCAGATTCTGTTTTTCCTTTTCGTCTATTTCAAAATCCTCACATTCGTCTTCAATCCCTTCATGCCCCGGCACCTCTGTACCTCTCCGACCTGCTTACTCCCCAACTCACTACCCGTTGCCTCTGCTCGACCGGCTCCAGCCTCCTGTTTGTATCTCGTGCCCTCCTTTCCACCATCGGTGGCCGCGCTTTCAACCACTACCCCCGAAACTCTGGAACACTCTTCCTCTATCCCTCCACCTTGCTCCCTCCATCAGGTCGTGCCTGAAGACCTTCATCTTTGACCGTACCTATGGTCACCTCCCTCCTCCCCCCGGCTCGGTGTCGTGCTCCGCCATTGTCAAGCGCTCTGGGACGTTACCCTGCGCGAGGAGCGCTGTATAAATGCAAGTTGCCACTTAGTGTGTGCCCTGTGTATACGCTACATTGTGTGCCCTGGAGTGTACTGCTTTGGCTTTGTACTGTCCCACATACAGTCCAGCTGAGTTTTAAGACTCAAGGCTGGGGATGCGATGGCGCTGGTTGACTTTGTTTCATGTGATTGTCCCCAGAGGTCATCCAAAAAAAAGCCGATGTACACCAACCTGCATTTCTACATGAACAAGATCACTTTAAAGCCTGACGGTAAGTGAAGAGACTGAGATAACGAGCCGGGTGTCAGCCTGCCCCAGTCAGAAACACTCTCGCCTCTGAGTCAGAAGGTTGTGGGTTCAAGCCCCAAGTGCAGACTTTGAACTCGCAGTCCAGACTCGCAGTGTGAGCCCTGCATTGTCGGAGGTGCCGTCCACCGCACAGGACCTTAGACCGAAGTCCTGTTTGCCTGCCATCCGCTATGGATTTTTATTCATATTTGAATAAATTGCAATGTTAACGGACTGGCACCTGAAATTCCATCCAGTCTTCACTTAAATTCATCCTGTTCTCACTTCAAATTTAAACATCACACAGGATTGCTTAAAATTGTTAAATTCGGTCTCCATTTGGAACCTGTGTTTTTTATTTTAAATACGTTTTGCCCAAATTCCGCGCTGCCTTCAATCATAAGACAAAAATGGTCTTTGCAGGCTAAGACTAGGTGAAATCTTGGGTCTCTAGTGGTTACAATAATATCTACGATTATATACTTGTAATTGATACACCATAGCATCAAAGAGAGACAGAGAGAGTGCCAATGCAATGAGTTGTTTTTGAAGTGTATTTACTGTTATAATAATAATCCTTGCATTTGATATAGCGCCTTTCATGTCTGGAGGACATTCCAAAGCGCTTCACAGGATTTCCTGTGAAGTAGAATAATTGTATTTAAATAAAATAATAATAATCCTTGCATTTGATATAGCGCTTTTCACGTCTTCTAGACGTCCCAAAGCGCTTCACAGAATATACTGTAAAGTGATTGACTGTATATTTGTGGGCGAACGCGGCAGCCAATTGCGCACAGCAATGTCCCACAAACAGCCGTGGATTGAAAATGACCAATTTATTATTGTTTTGGTTTTGGAGGGATTATTATTAGGCTCTGTGTGGAGTAAGGAAACTTGCCCAAGGTTTCGCCCTCTGCCTGGAATTGAACTCAGGTCTCTCACTTGCAAAGCGAGTGCTCTAACCACTGAGCTACAGGACTCCACAGGTGAATGCGGCAGCCGATTTGCGCACAGCAATGTCCCACAAATAGCCATGAAGTGAACGACCAATTTTATTTGGGCGATTGTTGGCTGGTATATTGCATTCGATACAGCGCCTTTCAAGCCGGGAAGACATCTCAAAGTGCTTCACAGCTTATACGAATGCAGCTAATTTGCACACAGCAATGTGCTAGAAATAGCCATGAAATGAATGACTAATTTTATCTGGGAGATTGTTGGCTAAGATATTGGGAGAAATCATCTCTTTTCGAAGAGCATCATGGCAGCCTCCCTCAACAACCCCGTCCCCCCCCCCCCACCCACCACCACCATATCCCGTGCATCTCTGTTTTGCTTTTGGCCATTTACGGGTGAAATCAGGAAGTAGTTTTTCACTCAAAGGGCAGTGGGAATCTGGAACTCCCTCTCCCAAAAGGCTGTGGATGTTGGATCCATTTTGAAGACTGTGGTGGATAGATATTTGTTAGGTCAGGGTATCCAGGGTATCAAAGCATACGGGGCAAGGGCGAGTAATTGGACTTGAGGTACAGATCAGCCGTGATCTAATAGAATGGCGGAACAGGCTCGAGGGGCTGAATGGCCTCCTCCTGTTTCTAAGTTCTGCATGTACAAGCTGTGTTTCTGAAAGACTTCCTATATATCTCTCTCTGTGTCTCTGGTTTGTGCTCAGGTATCTTCATCAGTGAGATCTTGACGGAGTGGAAGGGGGATTATGACAAGCTGGAACATAAACATACCTACATCCAATGGTTAGCTCTTGTTTTGTATTGATTTCCAACCATCAGTTTAGCTTGTTGTCTGCCTGGTGCCTGACTGACTGTGCGGGGTCTCTATGTGGCTCCCCCAGTTGGCAATGGAATATCAGAGTCAAAGCAACTCTCTGTGGTGGCCTCGATAACTGGGTCAGGCAGCTCTGCAATACTTAGAGCCACTGGGTCGTTGTCAGGTCTTGGAGGGGCAGACTGATCACTGTGGACTGGGGTTCCTCCCACTTGCCTCCTGTTAATCCCATCTAGAAGCCACGGCCCTTAACAAGTAGGGTGGTCCTAGCAGGACAAGCAATGGGAAGCTTGCCAGTGTTCACAATACATGGGTTCAGCTGGTTAGATTCCCAATAGTTACCCAAACGCACACCCTGGGGTCCCCAAGCCTTGGCTCTTGCCAACCTGTGCCTAATACTCTCTGGAAGTCTAGAACTCTGATTGGAATACTCTAAAGCATGGGTTTCCATATGGCTCAGGTTACTGCTGATTAAAAAAAATGATGAGTAATGAGATTTCCCCCCAACTCGCCCCTTCCTTGTCAAAATGCACCACAATTTTTTATGTGAGACGTTAAACCTGTCTCTGTTCGGGTGGACGTTAAAGATCCCACAGCGCTATTCCAAAACAGAAAGGAGTTTCTCTCTCTCCCGGTGTCCTGGAAGATTTAACCCCCACCCTTTCTCCCCCGGATAAAATTGGCCACTCACTTCATGACTGTTTGTGGGACATTACTGCGTGCAAATCGGTTGCGGCATTCGCCCACAAATTATACAGTCACTGCACTTTACAGTATATCCTGTGAAGCGCTTTGAGACGCCTCGACGACGTGATAAGGCGATCTATCAAATTATTATCAATTGGATGCTCATCTCAACGCTATTTTTGCACATTGATGGATGCTGATTGGCTGCTGTGTTTGCCTCCCTGGGGTTAACTTTTGTTTCCAAAATAATAACAATAATTCTCGCATTTGATCCGGCGACTATTATGTCAGGACGTCTTAAGAGTGCTTCACAGGATTCATTGCGAAGTACAGTGACTGATTTTTTTTCCAGCCAAACACGGCAGCCAGTTAGACCCCAGCAATGATTCTCAAATAGCCCTGAAGAAAATGACCAATTTTATCTGTCGGGCTGTTGGCCAGCACGCAGGGAAAAACTCCCTTCTCTTTCGAATAATGCTGTGGGACTTTCACCCCCTAAACAGGCAGACGGGACCTTGTTTTAACATCTCCTCTGAAAGGCGGCATATCTAGCAAGGTAATGCTCCCCCAGCACTGCACTGGTGCGTCGGTCTGGACTTGTGAGCTCAAAGCCCCAACTTGGGGCTTGAACCCACAACCTTCTAACTTGGAAGCTACCAACTGAGCCAGGCTGATCTTTACCAGTCTGCCCTGTGTGAACCATTGCCGTCACTGATCGGCCTGACTGGTTCAGACCCTTGGTTTGACTTTGCGATTGAATGCAACCTCTCTGTCCCTTTTTGCAAGGCTATTCCCACTGCGCGAACCCGGCCTGAACTGGCATGCTGAGGAACTCACCGCTGAAGAGATCAAGGTCGGTCAACTTCCCAACGCGTTACTGAATAATAATTATAACAATAATAACGTTAACGCTAATAGTTATTAGTGGTGATGATGATAATAATAATCCTTGCATTTGATGGCGTCTCATCACGTTGTTGAGACGCCTCAAAGCGCTTCACGGAATATATTGTGGAGTGACTGTGTATTTTGTGGATGAAACACATCAATAGTAGTGCAATGCCCGTGACGATACTGAACCCAAGCAATAATATTATTAATTAATTAATAATGAATACTCGCTCCCAGATGCTACCCTGCGTGAAGAGCTCTATATAAACACACGTTGTTGTTGCATTTCACTCGCCTCCACGCCATCACGTTGCACCGTTTTATCGTGAGGTCTGCGAATAACATTCTCCCCTTGGTTTTTCCATCTCAGGAGTTTCTCAGTACTGAGATGGCAACAAGCAATTATCTGCAGGTTTACGAAATCATGCTGGATTTTTTTGGCATCAAACTCGAGGATAGAATTACGGGGAAGGTAACGCGAGCTGAGAACTGGAAGGAGAGGTTTCAGCACCTGAATGGGTAAGTGAGTTCTTTCTGTGCACGTTTTCTTTTACATTCAGCCCGCAAAACAACAACAACAAAATGCGCTTGTATAGCACCTTCCACGGGAAGATGTCCCAAAGTGATCGACAATGAGACGGGAGGGGGCGAGGCAAAGGGGCTGCGGAATGGAGTTTCCGAGGGCTGAAAGGCTGAAGTCCTGACCACTGATGGTGCGGGCAGGGATAGGGAGCAGGCCGGAGCCCACTGAGCGAAGGAACATTCACAGGAACATCGCCAAGGGCTTTGAGACTAAATGGATGATAAATGAGAGGATTATTATAGAATCTCACAGCACAGAAGGAGACCATTTGGTCCATCATGCCATTGCTGGCTCTTTGAAAGAGCTATCAAACTAGTCCCACTCCCTCACTTTTACCCCAGGGCATTTATTCTCGTACGCACGTGTTTGAGGCAACGTAGAACACGCCTTGATTGTTTTCCCTCCATTCCTTCAGCTGAGTGGGTATTCTTCACTTGAGAGCACAAAATGACACCAAGTCATGGTGGGAGGGCATTGGGGTGCCTGGTTAGATTAGACCAAATAATAATAATATTTTGGTCTCAATCCACAACTGTTTATCGGACACCGCAATCGGCAGTCACGTTTCTCCCCACAAAATACACAGTCACTACACTGTACAGTATATCCTGTGAAGCTCTTTGAGACGTCTCACCAATACGATAAGGCGCTATATCAGCAACAAATTACATTGGTAAAGCGCTTTCATGTCGGGATGTCCTCCTGAAGTGAGAGGTGCTACACAAAGGTAATTTTGCATTGTATTGTGCATTGTTGACTCAACGTTGACCTGACTGAAGCCGTATTCTTGGGCTCCCGTCAACGTCTTCTATCCTGCGGCTCTGACCTCCTCAGAGGTTACCGAACCAGTGCGCAACCTTGGCGTCAGGTTCGACCCCCGGTTGTGCTCTTGTTAATAATCACTCTTATCTCCTCCCCCATTTTGAAGGTCACGGCACAATTATTTGCGAATAACCCGCATCCTGAAGAGCCTCGGGGAGTTCAAGTATGAGAAATTCCAGTTCAATCTGGTCCATCTGCTGCTGCGGGAAGTGCTGGTGGAGAGGACTCTGGCCAACATGGCGCACAGCGCGCTCGAGTACTTCGTCTTCACCATCAAGAAACGGTCGGACCGCAGGAGGCTGCTGAGGTTCGCTCAACGCCATTACAGGCCCCCCGAGAACTTCATCTGGGGCCCACCTGCCAAGCCCGTCATCAAGGCCCCCTCCTCCCCCTCCAAGAGACAGACGTCACAACAGGAGAGAGCTCCGTCTCACACCGCCCCCGGGGCAGGGGAAGGCCCGGCCGGGGAAGCCCACGCCGACACTGCTGTTGCTATGGCGACCGCACCCACCGTTGAGGGCCCCAGCAAGCCCCCCGCTGGCCACGCTGACTCTGAGACCACGGGGAAGGGCGAAGGGATCGTCAGCAAGGATGGAGATCGGTCGACAGAGGGCGAGGCTGAGGAGAAGGAGGAGGTGGAGAAGAAGGAAGAGAAGGAGAAGAAGGAGAAGGAGCAGAAGGAGGAGAAGGAGGAGGAGGAGAAGGAGGCGGAGGAGGAGGAGGAGAAGGAGGCAGAGAAGGAGGAGGAGAAGGAGGAGAAGGAGGAGGAGGAGATGAAGGAAGAGAAGAAGGAGAAGAAGAAGGAGAAGAAGAAGGAGCAGAAGGAGGAGAAGGAGAAGAAGGAGAAGGAGGAGAAGGAGGAGGAGAAGGAGGTGGAGGAGGAGGAGAAGGAGGAGAAAAAGGAGGAGGAGGAAAAGGAGAAGGAGGAGGAAGCTGAGGCTCCCGATAGCCCCAATCATGAAGCGCAGGAGCTCTGAGGGACACAGCACTGACCTGGAACCTGGGAAAAGAGGCTGAGAGAGAGAGAGAGAGAGAGAGAGTGAAAGTGGAGAGAGAAAAATGTGGGAGAAAGAGAAAGTAAGAGAGAGAAATGTGAGCGAATCAAAAGGAAAATGAGACGAAGTGAATGAGAAGTATGAGAGATTCTTAAGTTGATTCTTGTTTTGATTCCTTCAAACACAGATGAGATAGTTTTCTTTTAAGAAATAACTTTGTGGGATATTGTACATAGGTTATTCAGGACACATGTGCATGTGACCACCAGGGAGGGGGAAGACGACCTCGGTCTGGCGTTTCTTATGTATGTTTTTATGAGAGGGAAATAAGAGAGCGCGAGAGAGATAGAAGGAGAAATATGAGAGAGAAAGGTATGAGAGAGAGAGAGAGAGAGAGAAAGAAATATGAGAGAGAGAAAGGTGTGTGTGAGAGAGAGAGAGGAAGAAAGAAATATGAGACAGAAAGAAATGTGAGAGAGAGAGAAAATGAGAAAAAAAAAGAGAAATGAGAGAGAGAGAGAGAGAGAGTAGATGTTTGTAAAAGCTCGCTGGCAGAGCTGACTCCAGTTAACGCTCTGGATTTTCTCGTTCAAGACAAAGACAAACAGAGCAGGTTGTGAAGCCTGATCCTCTCTGGCCTCTCTCAATCTTCCGCTTGTAACTTCCACAGTTTTATTGACCCCTAACCCCGCGCCACAGATTGTATTTTATACGTGTCTAGTACCGAGCTCATTGGCGATGCAGCCCGCAGCGGCCTACAGAACACACCAGGGTTGCCTCTGGCTTCAAACGTGCTGTTCGACCAGGCAGCCCTTTCAGGAAAAGATCTCACAGGAAAGGTCCCACCGGAAAGCACATCAGCCTGGCTCAGTGATAGCGCGCTCACTTCTGAGTGAGAAGGTCATGGGTTTAAGCCCCACGTCGGGGCTTGGAATCACATCATCCAAGTTAACACTCCAGTCTGAGTACCGGTCTGATGTTAAAGATCCTGTGGCACTATTCGAGGGGGTTTCTCTCTCCCGGTATCCTGGCCAACAATCCCCCAAATAAAATTGGTCACTCTCTCCACAGCTGTCTGTGGGACTTTGCTGTGTGCGAATTGGCTGAGTCATTTCCCTACAAAATATACAACCACCACACTTTATAGTATATGCTGTGAAGCGACTTGAGACGTCTCAACGACGTGATGAGGTGCTATGTCAAATGCAAGGATTATTATTTTTAAGGGTTTCGCCTGAAAGGTTTGCATCATTTACCCAATTGCTTATTTTGTACAAATTGTCTAAATAAAGGGTGTTGACAAAGTATATTTTAACTGAAGAGTAAGATACATACCACAATCTAATAAAAATGAAACAAATTTGTATTATTTCTTAACACATTTCCGTGCTTTCAACTACTACACCTGACCGCCCCCCCGGAACTCTCTACCTCAGTCCCTCTGCCTTCCACCCTCTCTTGCTTCATCCTCAGATCTCACGTGAATATCTTTCTCTTCGACCGTCACCTCCCCAGTTTGGTACCTAACTGCTGTTAAGTGCTCTGAAAAAAACACTATAATAAATGCAAGTTGTTGTTGTAATAGCTAAGGAAAAATGGCTTCCAAATCCTGATTACGTTTAAGCATTTTCCACAATTCTGCGCTGTCTTAAAGTTGAAGACGGAAATCATAATTTCCGTTATGGGATAATAATTCCTTCAAAAAAAAATCGGTCCCTTCAATCCACGACTGTTTGTGGGACGCTGCTGTGTGGATTTTGCCCACAAAATACACAGTCAATTCACTTTACAGTATATTCTGTGAAGATCTTTGAGACATCTTAAAGACGTGATAAGATGCTGTATCAAATGCAATTATTATTATCTCCAAAGCTAAATCTAGGCGGAATTCCAGGCTGTTAATGTCTGAAAAAACAAGAACAAGCAATTGCATTTATTTACTGTCCACCTCATTTGGGGGAATTGCTGACCACCAAATCCCCCCAATAAAATTAGGCACTCACTCCACGACTGTTTGTGGGGACACTGCTGTGCGCAATTGGCTGCCGCATTTCGCCCACAAAAAATCTACAGTACCTCTTGTGAAGCGCTTTGAGACGTCTTGAAGCCATGATAAGGCGCCATATCAAATGCAGGGCTATTAATAATATTTTACCACATGCAAAGATTCTTATTCTCACGAATTACAACTCTTCCTAATATAATGGAGTGAACAGAAAGCAATGTTGTTCATGAAGCAGTTCCTGTTTCTCCCCCTCCCTCCCTCCCTCCCCACCATGCATTTTGTATAAAGATCGAAACAAGACTCCCTCTCTGGCCTCAGTTCAGTCTCCACGCTCAGTAAACTCTTCGGAGCGCTTCCTTCTTTCACTTCCTTAGAGAATTCAAAAACCTGTTGAAAATAATAATGCAAATGCGAGGTGCCAGATGTCACTCCATCATTGGTCAGCCGCTGAGCCGAACGGAAGCTGATTTTCTGTGGTAGCCCGGCACAGTCAGTCGCTCTCATTTGTTGGGAGCGTCAGAAGGTTGTGTGTTCCAGCACCGTGTCGGGACATGCCAGCCCAGAACTGGGGGGGAGCACTGCATTGTCGTGGGTGTCGTTCTTTGGGTGAAACACCACCACCATTTATAGAGCGCCTTTCATGCAGGATAGCGTTCCAGAGCGCTTAACGTGTAGGGGGAGGTGACTAGGCACTGCCGAAGAGGAAAGTCTTTAGGCACAACCTGAAGGTGGGGAAGGAAGGGGGCAAGGTGGAGGGATAGAGGAAGAGTGTTTCAGTGTTTCAGGGAGTAGTGGGTGGAAGTGCGACCACCGATGGTGGAACAGAGGACACGAGGGACGAGCAAGAGGCCGGGGGCCAATCAAGCAGAGGCAGTGAATTGTGGGTTGGGGAGTAAGTAGGTCAGAGAGGTAGGGAGGTGCCAGGGCACAAAGGGATTTGAAAGCGGATGTGAGGATCAAAAGGACAAAAGTATGTAAGTGCACTGGAATAACCGGTTGCTCCATCTCAATGCATTAACTCAATGTTGTTCCAGTGGAAAACTCCCACATCAAGGCATGTTGCCAAGGTCGATGAGTGGAAAATTAACCCTCCGAGCAGTAAATTAAAGACCGTTAGGTTGGGCGTCAACACAAAACGTGGTTGAGTCAGTGCACAATGGGTGACATGGAAGGTAAGAAGCCAAATAAAGATTGCAATTAGGGACTGCGATCACGGCAAAATACACATTGGTTTCTGTCTTTTTGTTGCCATGGTGAAGGGCACTGGGAGAAGAACAGGGAATGATACAGACCTTTTGCTGACTGTATGGCAGTTTGCTTCATGTACCATCATTCAGCACAGAGCTGCACTTGAGGGTGGTGTCTCGGCCCATTCGGGTGGATGTTAAAGATCCCGGGCGCTTTTCCTTAAGAGTTTCTAAGCCGGTCTTCTAGCCAACAATCCCCTAAAAAAACTGCCACGTTTGCATAAAAATTGTCCCTTACAGACACTTGTCAAGGATTACCTGTGAAGTTCTTTGAGACGTTGTGATGTGATAAATCACAAGTTTCCTTTTCCGCTTTCCCTGGTTTTCCTTTTAAATTGGGACCTTGTTGTTATAGCGTAAGGCAAAGCTTACAGACACTTGCTGTGGTTTGCTCCATGTCCCTCCAATGTTGGGGTGTGTTGCATTGTTGGGAGGTGAGACCTTAAACCCAAGTCCGTTCAGGTAGATGTTAAAGATTCCATGGCAATATTGGAAAAGAGAAGAGAGTTTCTCTCTCCCGATGTCCTGGCCTGACGGTTCGATATCATAAACCCTATATCAACTGTAGAGATTATTACTATTACCACCGTATTTCCAAAAGCCCTTAAAAGGAGTCCTGAAGCTCAGAGGTTACAGCACTCACCTCGCAAGCGAGAGACCTTGGTTTGATTCCTGGCAGGACGAAACCTTGTGCAAGTTTCCTTACTCCACACGTCCGATAATAAACCCTCAAGAAAAAAAAACAATAATAAAATAAACCATCACCCACGTATTCGTCATCTCAAGGCTTGATTACGGGAACTCCCTCCTCATCGGCCTTCCCAACTCTTCCCTTCACAAGTTTCAGATCATCCCAAACTCTACAGCTCGTGTACTCTCACGCACCAGGCTCCGTGACCCCATCACTCCCACCCTCGCCAGACCCCACTGGCTCCCCATCCCCCAGAGGATCAAGTTCAAGATCCTCGTCCTCACCTTTAAGGCCATTCATGGCCTCACCCCCTCCTACCTCTCTGATCTGCTGACTCCCTACCAACCTGTCCGCTCCCTCCGTTCATCGGGCTCCGGCCTGCTCCATGTCTCCCGCCCGACCCGCCCTACCATCGGTGGCCGGGCTTTCAGCCTCTCTGCCCCACACTCTGGAACGCCATCCCACGGCCCCTTCGCCTCGCTTCCTCCCTCCTTCAAGGCCGGTCTCAAGACCCTCCTCGTCTACCGTGCCTTTTGGTCTCCCTCCCACCTCTCTGCCTTCCCTCACCCCTACACCAACCTTCCCCTATGCTCGGGCCCCGACACGTGACTGTTCAGCACTTTGGGACGTCCTCCCGGCGTGAAAGACGCTTTAGAAATTTAATTTTGTTGTTGTTGGTGGTGGTGGTGGTCACTTCAGTCAACGACTGTTAGTCAACACTGCTGTGCGCAATTGGCTGCCGTGTTTCGCCCACAAATATAGTCAATTCACTTTACAGTGTATTCTGTGAAGCTCTTTGAGGCGTCTGGAAGACGTGAAGAAAACGCTATATCAAATGCAAGGATTATTATTATTATAAAACAGTTAGACACAAATTTACAGCAGCTGTGAGCAATGCTGTTGACGTGCGCCCCTTGGTGGGCAGATCGACCTACTGCACCCTGAGAATCGGATACCTTGTTGGGAGAGGAGATTGTTAACAGAGGACAAGAGCCGGGGAGGGAGAGGGGAGGATAATTATTGAGAAAGATTAGCAGGAACAATAGTTTTATTGATTTGATACTGACAGTACCTCGATGCATAAGAAAATCCTAATTTTATGCACAATGTTTTGGTCAGTTGGGTGTCCCGATACAATTCTAGTAATAATTATCCTTGCATTTGATATAGCGCCTTATTACGTCGTTGAGACGTCTCAAATCGCTTCACAGACTATACTGCAAAGTGAATTGACTGTTTATTTTGTGGACGAAACGCGGCAGCCAATTGCGCACAGCAGCGTCCCACAAATAGTGTCGTGGATTGAATGACCATTTTTTTTAGGGGATTATTGCCCCCGGAAAAGGATCTGCCAATCGACTAACAACCGGGTTGCTATTGACTGTTAGGTACGTACAGAGGTGTGTGGAGTAAGGAAGCTTGCCTAAGGTTTCGCCTTGCCTGGGAATTGAACACGGATCCTTTCACTTGTTGAGTGAGGGCTCTAACCACTGAGCTTCGGGACTCCACGTTTTATCATGTTTGAGCACTTACAGAGAAAAAAATAGATCTTTTTTATAACACTTTATCACTTTGGAACATCTCAAGACACTTGGTAGTGATTGCTATCCAGTGTCGTGACTGTGTATTTGAAGACATATGCAGCAGCCAAAACAACCATGAAAGTGAGCGACCAATTTTTATATAGGGTTGGTGTGTGTAGGGGGGGATTTGTTGCCAGGACACTGGGAGATACTCCCTTCTCTTTTAAAATGAGATCACAGGGTCTTTAACATCCACCTGAGGACAGACAGAGATTAAAGATCCCATGATGTTAGTCAAAAGAGAATGGAGTTTCTCTCTCCCAGTGCTTTGGCCAATAATCCCTCAGATAAAGTTGGTTGTTTATTTCATGGCTGTTTTGTGGTCCGTTGCTGCTAACTGTAGCTGCAAATACACAGTTACTTCCCCCGC